TTGCTATTCACACCTGAGATCATTTTTCCCTCTTTGGGAGGTTATCACTGATGCTCCCTTAATCTCGAACTTGTGTAGATCACCAAAACACCCATCCAGTTCCCTCCTTCTCAAACACCAGCTGAAAATTAGGCAGAGAAATGAGAGTGTGTGTTGGCCGGGGCAGAGTTACTCTCCTCAGGGCCGAACTTGCCTACTGGGAATTCCGGCAAAGTGGTCACATGGAGGTTTCCGGACCCAGCTCCAGGCCCCCACATTGCACCGGAAGGGAACAGGCCAAGACTTTGAGGCCAGGCCCAGAAAAGGGAAGAAGCTGCACACAGAACAAAGAATGTCTAAGCGAAATGGTCCATATCGTACCTACAGCAGCTATGGCTCAGTTTTCTTCATCATCGTGAGTTTTAATAATTGAATGTACTTTGCCATTAAGGAGGTCCTCTATCGGTCTCTCCTGTTGTTTCAACAGCAGCTTTGCGTGCAAAGGGGTCTTATCAGTAAAGGTATGCAGGTGGATTCACTCATTGAATACTGATCAATGTTGGTAAATTAATCTTATTCCCTAATGGATGTACTCCATACTCTGGTCTAATTCATGTCCTTCTGACCACACCCCCACCCCCGTGCTGAGCTACCTCCCACAGAGCACGCACTCTCGGGTGAACCTTCAGCTCTTGGCTTTTCTTTGAGCAGAAGGCTTCTCTCCTCTCAGAATGCATCTTCCATACTCTGAAGATACCTGTGGCTCTCACAACTTCCCCCTCCAACTCTGCTCTCACTGTGGGTACTGGACCTCAGGACCTTTCAGAGGTCTTCGCTGGTGATGACAGTCAAGACGTCCTGAGATCTCCAGAGTGGACACTCTCCCCAGATCCCTCAAGAAGACCCCAAGACCCAGAACCATCCACAGACTCCACAGCCTCATGATCCTCACCTGTCTTCAAAGTATGCTGAGAATGAGATGAAATGAGAACAGACCCTACCTCTTAGCACTACTCTGTAAATAAGAGCATAGACAGATAGATAAAAACTAAAACAACCGGGCTTCCCTGGTGGGGCAGTGGTTGAGAGTCCGCCTACCGATGCAGGGGACACGGGTTCGTGCCCTGGTCCGGGAAGATCCCACATGCCGCGGAGCGGCTGGGCCCGTGAGCCATGGCCGCTGAGCCTGTGCGTCCGGAGCCTGTGCTCCGCAACGGGCGAGGCCACAACAGTGAGAAGCCCGCATACCGCAAAAAAAAAAAAAAAAAAAAAAAACTAAAACAACCCATGCACTGCACCTAGGGGAAAGTCTTTGTAAGCACCATGGTGTTGAGCAGCTGTAAGGAAAGCTGTGTTTTCTTCACCCACAAACCCCACAACAATACCTTCAGAACTGTATTGCGTTTAAGTTGTATCTTCTTCCCCTAAGATACTCTGACAAAACATTCTAGAATCCAGGACAACCCCAAGATCAGTTCATTATATTCTTGCAAGAAAATCAAAGTAAAAATGTATGTACATCATCAAATTTAACCTAATTATTATGCTTTTATAACTTTCATAAAGTATAAGGACACATATTGAAACACATTGTTCTATCTGATCATTTTTATTTTAGATCAGTGGACACAAAGCTCAAAGGACACCTGAGCAGGGGACTCTTCTCTTTAGAGAGAACTTCAAACAATCCTCAAAGATGTAAGTAATAAGGAATTTTTGTTCTTTACTTGTGAAAATGCTAATCCAGATTCTCTGGCTCCAATTCCTTAAGTTGGAAATAACACATAATAACGATAACTTAACTAAGAGTTCACTTTGTAAAACATCTTTGTCTTCATTTTAGAATCCAGTGCGGGAAAGAGACAGGAAGTAGTGACAGAAGGATGGGAAATGGAGGCAGCGAGAGGGGACGCCAAGCCCATGGCAGAGCCTTAGCAATGGAGAGGTTGGTGTAGACCCAAGAATTCAGAAGGGGCAGATGACCTGGGGAACAGGTGGGGGAGCATAGATCCTGCAGAAGGAAGGACCAGGGTGTGAGAGACAGAGTGAAGGACATAGTTGGAGAGAAATTTAGGCAGGATAGAAGAGGATGTGGTTAGGAATGGAGCCATGTAGAGCCACGAAGAGAAGCCAAACCCATAGCTTTTCATGGCATCGACTTGGTGTGATCAAACAGGTGAGACGACATGCTCACAGTCGTGGCTCCTAGAACACTCCATATAGTTTGGCCAGTTTCAAATTACAGCGAACAGCCTACAGCGACTTACTTCATTCTTTAAAAATGAGAAAAGCTATTTTTCCTACATTCAAAATGGATTTGGCAAAGCCAAGCCCTGGAGTGGGGTTGCTACTCTTTGCTGCCCTTAAATTAGAGCTTGTCAGTCAAGTAGGCATTCACCCCCAGACAACCAGCAAAGAAAGACAAGCAGGTGGAACAGAAATGAGCAGCAAACCGTCCATACCCAGACTCCGCTCGCTCCCTGTGTGCAGCTCATCTCAGGACGCCAGAGCCTGGGGGTCAGGCAGGTGCTTCAAGTTCAAAGCCACAGTCAGAAACCACGCCTCTCCCATCCCTTTCTGCCCTTCACATTTTCAAAGCTTCATCCAAGTTTTAACTTTTCATCTTACTAAAAGTAAACAGCATAGCTTTTTTGAGGAACCTACTGAGTGAACCCAAGCAGCAGGAATGTCCACGTGGCATGATAATTCCTTTGAGACTTTAATTTGTGTTTTGTTTTTTGCGTTTTCTCTCCCTCATTGGCCAGGCCTTCCTTTGTGTTCCTTTGACTGAGGTCAGCCTCTGTTCCAGGTATTTGTTTTTAAAAGCGTGAAGTTATTAAGGGGTATTAGGCTAGAGGGAGGGAAGAGAAGTGTTTTGAAGAGTGGAGAAAAGAGAGGCTCTGCACCCCACCCCCAAGCAGGGGCCTTCCTACATCCCTAGACATTTCAGGATGCTCAGCTGATTTCCATCTGCCAGGATCTGCATCTCGGTGTCAACGGTCTCATTCCCTTGGAAGTTCTGAAAAGTGTGCCACCTATTTGCATGGAAGACCAGAGGAGCAAAGAATTAAGCTGCTCTCCTCCCAACAGGCAGATACCCCAGTCAATGGCTCTTAGAAGTTGATGTATAAATACCCCAGCTTCTTGGCCCTTGTGTATAATAATTCTGCAGTGTATTTTGCACAATCCCTCAGCGTTTGCTTGGAGGATTGAGCTCCAGTGCCCACTGTGGTAGCCGGCTTGACGACACACATTTTATTGGCTTTCTTCCCTTCCCTGTATCCCCCAGCCACTTCATATCAGCATTCCCTGAACCTCTCAAATAAACCACCTGCACCTGAAGTTGTTTCAGGGTCTGTTTCTATGGGCACCAAACTAAGACACCTTAAATACTGACTCTCCTCTAGAACATCTGGTATCTCAGTCATAAAAAGAATACTGGGGGAATAGATTCAGAGTATGAGTCATCATACTATTTCTTGTTTTTCAAATTATTTGGAAATTATCTCACCTGGGTGTACTTTTTTGCTTTAGTGGTGACATTGAAGGAGTTGGCAATTAGATGGAGTACATGCTGTGATTTCTCCCACAGAAGAAATCATTCTTGAGCAAAGTGAACATCTAAAAATGTCCTGGATTGCCCACATGCAGAGATAATAATCAAAGTATTTAACTGGTACAGCATGGTCCTCAACCAATCATAAAAGATGCTGGTCTACATGCTGCAGGGCTGCCTCACCAGCTGACCATAGGCTCTGCCCAGTGAAACACAGGGGTCCCAGTTCTGCCTGGGTGAAATCTGCAGGTAGGCTTGAGAGGTCATTGAGCAGAGAAGGGTTTACTTGGCTTTCTCCAAGGGGGCTCAGAGGTAGGTGGGTATGATTTTGATTCCTCCTCAGAAAAAGAAGTGATGTGTAGAAACATTTATTGAACATCTCTGAAGGGAGCTAAAGGCCCAGCAGGGGCCACATCGGCAGGGACTTTGAGAGCTTTACATTCCAACATATTATTTGTGTTTTCTTCTGAGTATGGAAGTAAAGCCACAAACCGCATCAGGTTTCCTTCTGGAAGAATGTCTCTTCTCCATTGTGGGTGGTCTGGGCAAGACCAAAAGGCAAAGCAGCCAGCCTGTAGGTGTGTATATGATCCAAGGTAAGTCCATCAGTCTCTCCTGGAACTATAAAAGTGAAGCAGAATGATGAAAGAATGGGAGAAAAGGTCGTTGGAGTTCATTTACGCAGTGAGAGTGCTAATTCATTCATGCAGTAGGGATGCTATAAAGTATGGTCAACTGCTTCCTGCTACCTAGACCCCAGAGCTGCCTGGTTACTCTTCTTGTTCTTGAGCCTTTCATTGGCTCTGGGAGCCTTTTGATAGCCTTTTGGTAATTTCCTTTTACTGCTTAAAATTTCCAGAACTGGTTAATTTTACTTACACCTAAAGAACAATAACAAAATTGGCTCCTATATGCTTATCTTCAGCCATGTTTGGTGGAGAATGGACCTCTTGGAAGATCGTGTGGCAGCAACTACTGAAAAGGGAAGAAAAGAAGCCAGTCCCTGGATCTTCAGCAAACAAGAGGAAGAAGGCACAAGAGGTAGGTGTGGGCCTGAGGGACACGGTGTACGTCCCTTGAGGAAGATCCGCTTCACCACAGTTGGCTCTCAGGTACCCAGGGAGCTAGAATTCCAGCCTGGTTTCTCCATGGCCTCCCAGGTTGACCAGCTTGGGAGTCAGGCATTCCTCACAAGCAAAGCCCTAGTAGCTTGAGCAGCTACTAGGAAAAGGACAAAGGCTCAGGTCAGGCTCTCTTCCTGTTAGCAATTCTGGTAAGACAGGGAGTAGGTGGGCATTGAAATCATGGGCTAGGACTTCCCTGGAAGTCCAGTGGTTAAGACTCCACGCTTCCACTGCAGGGGGGTATGGGTTTGATCCCTGGTTGGGGAACTAAGATCCCGCATGCCATGTGGTATAACCAAGAAAAAAAAAAAAAAGTAAAGAAAAGAAATCATGGACTAAAATGAGGCCTTGCTGCAATATGTGGACTTATTCTTAAGAATATGGTAAGAATATGTCACTTACTATGACATTTACATTTACTGCACAATAATTATGCGTATGTTTATGCATATTTCATGGGAACCGTAATGTGAACTGGGTGGATTTTCCTTTTTTTATGCTTATTTGCATGAAGAAAAGTGAGAAATGAATTTTCTGTCGTAAGTGCGACCATTCCTTTGCCAGTGTTGGGTACAACACAACCATATCAAACCCTCAAAGAGGGGCCATCTAAGCACCTGCCAACCTGGCCCACCCACAGAGCTTTGCCTAGAAGCCGTGTCTCTTATAGAATTTAGCTCGAGCTATAATATCACTGATGACGTCAGTCTATGTCCGCGGGGGTGGCAGTGGCTTCAGTTCCTGACTTGAAGGCTGAGAAACCACCTGAAATGAAACCAGAGGTTCAGATTGAAAGATTAACTTTCAGCAGAAATAAGATATGAGCATTCCCGGGATGTCAGCCCTCCAGGGAAATCTTCCAAAGCAGACAGTCCCAGATCCTCTTTCCCCCCTTCCTCTCCTCCTGAAAGGATCCATCTCCTCAAGAATCACTGAAAAACTTCCAGATTGCTTTCCTTCTCTCTCTCTTTTTCTGAAGACTTTTGTTTTTCTTGCTGCAAAAGTCAGATTTGCTTCTTATTTAGTGCAGGCCTGGCAAAACTAGATCCCCAGTAAATCTTCAGTCTAAAACTGCTTGTAACATTCTCTCAGTCATTCAAGAACTCACTCATTTATTCACTCATTCATTTATTCAATAAAATGTTTTAAGCACCTACTGTGGACCAGGATGTGTGCCACACTGAGCGCACAGTGCACAATGATGCTCAAGACATACTCATTCCTTTGTAGGTGTATGTGTGCAATATGCATGTTTGAGCATATGTGTATTATCCCCTAGAAGGTTAATCTTCAGTAGTTACTCATGTGTTTACCATAATTGTGCTCTGCTCGGATGTCTAGAGATAAAGACCCCTGGTCCTGATCCCTGCCTTCAAGGACCTTGAAATAGAAAATAGAAACTGTTTATTTGAAATTAAGGCCATAAAATGTAAAACTGTTTATTTGAAATTAAGGCCATAAAAGGAGAGAGGTATATACATACCATGGGCCTATAGGAGGCAGACTTAATAAGAATTGGTATGGCTGGATGCGAAGGGAGAAGGAACCAGAGAACCTAAGAAAAAAATATGTTTTTTTCTGGCTGGAATGACTGGGTATGTTATAGTGCCTTTCACAGAGGCAGAAAATACAGAAGAAAAAGCAAGTTTATAGTGAGAGGCTAGTGAGTTAGTTCAGTCTGGGAGGTGCTGAACCTGAGGGGGTCTGTGATCAGCCTAGCAGGGATTTCCACCTGGACACATCATGGTACCTAAAGCCCTGGTGTCACTGAGGATGCTCAGAGAGTGAAAATGTGTTCAAAAAATTCAGAAAGTGGGTAAAAGCTTCTTGCACCAGGGAAAAAAAACCCATCAGAGGAAGGCAAACATATTCTTTTAAACAATCACACTAACTCTCAAGGTATCACTCAATGGCTCAATAACCAATGAGATGTAACAAGAACCCCCACCATCTGGCAGAAGGGGAATGGAAACTGGGCACGAAGGACACTCCAAGGAACTCAGTGCTTCAGAGAGCACTAGGGGTCCTCCCAGGCCCACTGCTGACCCTATGGGCACAGGCCCAGGGAGCCCCAAGGTACACCCGGCCTTCTGGGCTCTCACTCACTGCTCTTCTAAACAAAGCACTGGCCTACCTTTGAGGTATTGAGCCACACTCCACGTGGGGAATTTTTTCTGGTTTGCCTTAATTCTGTCTGTGAGAATCCCAACAGCCTGCAAAAGGTGTGCTTTGCTGCCCCAGGTACCAACAGGCTGATGGATTTTTTTTATCAAGCTAGAAAATTCAGGTAAGAATGTCAACATCTGGATGGAGCAACACATTTTTCTGCTGTCCTGATTTCTCCTCCTTATGTTCAAGGTCATAGACACTGGCCTTATCCCTTTTCTTTATTCCCACAGAATCAATTCTACAAGTCCTTTCACAGAAAAGAGAATCAGAGAAATACAGTAAGATTTGGGAGAAGTGGATGTAGCATAGTTTTAGTTAAGCACTCACAAAAAAAAAAAGTTGTTTCAAAACAAATAATGAGCACCCAAAGTCTAGATATTTGCAGTCAAAAATAATTGGAAGGCTAGAAGTCTCGGTTTCTCAGACAATTTAAAATAAAGCCTGGGGGAGTTCCCTGGCGGTCCAGTGGTTGGGACTCAGTGCTTTCACTGCCGGGGCCTGGGTTCAGTCCCTAGTGGGGGAACTAAGATCCCTCAAGCCGTGTGGCATGGAATAGAATAGAATAGAATAGAATAGGGGAAAACCTGGAAGCAAATATCCTGATAATTTGGGTCCCCTTCCTCCAATTTGCCTAAAGGACAAGTTGGTTCAAGTAGGGTTTCATTATAATGTTTTGATCTACGCAGATTAAATTTACTATTTCATGAACCTCAAAGGGATACCTGTAATAGTACCCTTTATAAGATTTTCTCAATTTAAGTACATTGCATAATATCAATTATAAATTGTAATTGCAAAACTCATAAGATACTTAAAAAAAGATATCCAATAACTGGTATATCTTGACATGTTACAGAAATCCCAGTGGAAATTATGCAAGTACCCGTGTTTTGAAGCCTAGGATAAATGCAGATAGATTTCCAGTTTGGGTTAGCTTCTGTGAGGAAGGATGAAGTGGGGCCGATTGAAAGTTTCTAGCTGAGTACCTGCATCAAGCCAAATTTAAGTCCTTTGTGGTCCCAGCCGTCTTGCCGGATGGTTCCGCCGTGGCTTTCTCTGGAAATGATGGCTGCAGTGAGAGCAGGGTCCATGCAGTGCCTGGCTTCTTTGATTAGAATTTGTAAGACTTGAAGACCTTCAAATCCATCTCAGCAAACATTTCAAAACCACGGATGCCTACACCAATAGAAAATAAACTGTTTCCTCCACTCCAGAAGAGACCCCTTTTTCAAAGTTTAATACGTTAGCCACAGGTCTGACTGTGGCCCACAGGCTTGGGACAACCATTTTAGGAACTTTTTTTGCGGTTTTTCTTACTGTTGTGGCCTCTCCCGTTGCGGAGCACAGGTTCCGGACGCGCAGGCTCAGCGGCCATGGCTCACGGGCCCAGCCGCTCCGCGGCACGCGGGATCTTCCCGGACCGGGGCACGAACCCGTGTCCTCTGCATCGGCAGGCCGACTCTCAACCACTGCGCCACCAGGGAAGCCCCTTAGGACATTTTTTGGTCTCTGATCGCATAAACCCAGAAAGGTCCTCAGCCCCAGATGGATACCACTTCTGCTTTCTTTCTTGTTCTCTTTTCTGCCACATCTGGTGCATTGGGAAAAGTCTTGGACTAGAAGTCAGCCAACCTATGTTTGAGTTTGGTCTGACACTACCTAGCCCTGGGCCCTCGGGAAGTCTCTCCTCCTTGCTGAGCCTCAGTTGTCTGATCTGTCAATTGGGAAGGTAGGATTAGATTGACCTTGTAGTTGCTTCCAGCTCTGATATGCTAATACTGAGACAACATGAAGAAGACTTCGGAACAGAATTACACAAGAGAGGACGTACAGAGAGCGTTGCTTAAAATGCTCACGCTGTAACCTGAAGTCGACACAACAACAAACGAAAAAACAAAGCCAGAATTTGATATTTTAATTAAGCAATCATTTCAATATGTAGAAATAAACACCTCTCAACCAGGTTTGGAAAGGATGAAGGGAAAGTGAAAAGAAGCAGCTTGATGGGGGAGTCAGGATTCTGGTTTTCTCTCATTTTTAATTTTGATATTACTACTGTAATAATGAACTTCTCAGGATTAAGCTCCTTCCTAAGAAAGAATCTGAAAATGATGAAAGGGGGCTAGCCAAATGCTTGCCTGGCTTCACACTCACTGCCGGCAATCACCCTGTGATATCACAGGTAGCACCAGAGGTCTCCATGGTCACGATGGCACCATAGCAACCATGGTACAGGCGGGAACGCAGGCGAGGGTTCATTGAAAGGCTGAAGGAGCGTGAGCCCCTAGAAGTGCCCGCGGGGCACAATGATCACTCACATGAAGCCTGCGAGAAAATACTGCTCGGAGTTGCTGTCATGAACATCACTCAACCAACGGCAAAGCCATAGGCTTAATCCTCCCCAAGCCCCTCCCCAAGACCCCCAGAATGGCTCACCAGAAGGTATTCCGAACTCAGCAGCAACCTGTCAGGATTTTACAAAGTGGTGGCCTTATTCCTAAAACATAGGTTTAAGTTTGAGAATCCATTAACAGATCTCCGAGCACCTGGCTTCAATCTGCTGCCTTCAGTGTGGCTCTCCCGCTGTGGAGGACCTTTTAAATGCCAGCATGCAGACTCACCTGCCTCTTCTCACCTTCATGCTGTACCACTGATCTGGGAGGAGCTTTATATATGCTTTAAAACCCTCTTTAAACCACTGACCTCATTAGGCCTGATTATAATGGTACTTGGGATTTAGGTGGCCCTTTTAATAAAAGGATTTCAAAGCATATATTAACCACTATTAATTAATCTAATGAACCCCCAAGGTGTACTGGAGGCATATATTTGGCGGACTGTTTCTGGGTATCTAAAATTGTGCTAGGCAAACAGCTTCTAAATTTGAGAACAAGAAACAGATACTTAGTCTAAAAAAGATAAAAACAGGAAATACTAGCAGCTGCCCTTCCTGGATTGGTTGTTTGCCTGCAACGCTGAGCCTTCTGTTCTTTGTTCTTCATTCCACTCTCACATGATTCCCATAGCAACATGTCACGTGATCTCAATGGGTGACCTTGGCTCCTTGCTCCACTTCTGCCTCTGACAAGCAGATCCAAGAGTGTCTGCCTGCTCTTGGGAGGTCAGTGCGAAGCCAGGGACTGGGAACATGGGTGCCAGTTTCCCAAACTTCCTGAGGAAATGGGAAAAAAGGATTTGGCCAAGGAGGAAAATTTCTTCCAGGATGGACTGTCTTCAAACTTCTGTCTAAAGGAAGAGACGGAGCACATTGTGCAGCTCCAGAAACAGGAAGTGGAAGAGATATTTTCGAAATGGGCAAAGCGCATTTCCCAGAGGGGAGGAGGGAATCTGACACGGGTCCTACCAGCAGTGTGAGAAATTTCCATGACTATACCCGTCCTTCCACTCATCCACCAAGTGAACAGAGATGTGAGGGAGACTGAGCAGGAGACAGGGAAGACAGAGGCCCGGAGTCAAGTGACTTTCCCAGCTCCCTGGCAGTGGGTAAACCACACCTTCTAGGAGAACGTGCCCTCCAGAAGCTGATCTGCTCTCCCCCACTGCACTCACTTCTGCCCGGACTGCCTTCCTGTTTGCAGAACAGCCTGCCCTTTTAAGTGGCCTCCAGCCTTGCATTCCAGGGAAGAAGGGTGGGCATGTCCTGAGCCACTGATGATCCTGCTTCGACTATCAGGACCTGTTCCACCACCACCATCAACGCCACGGTCAGTGCCGCTCTGTAAGAAGGGGTTTGGCACGGGTCCAGCTGCTCCAGGGTAGCCCTCAGGGGCACCTGGGTTTCCACCAGTGACAGTGGCAACAGCACGCTGACACAGTGCTCATGGCCCTCCCAGTGCAGGGGCTTATGTGGGGCTTCCAGGCTAAGGGTAAGGAGAAAATTCAAGAAAGGGAGAAGGAGAAGTGGACCAAGAATTAAGTTATGTGAAAGATACTAGGTAGAGGCTGAAGCTGTCCTTAGATGCTCGTAGAGAATAAAAGAAATAATAAAACATAGAAAGGACTGTTGAATGTGGAGCTTACTTTATTCTTCTCCCTGTTTTCAGATAGTGGGGCTACAAGTCCTTCCAGGTATGAAGGTCTTAATGTCCAGGCTCTCTGCAATTTATTTATCTATTTAATATATTTATTAATTTATTTATGGCTGCGTTGGGTCTTCGCTGCTGCGTGCAGGCTTTCTCTCGTTGCGGCGAGCGGGGGCTACTCTTTGTTGCAGTGTGCGGGCTTATCATTGCGGTGGCTTCTCTTGTTGCGGAACATGGGCTTTAGGCACGCGGGCTTCAGTAGTTGTGGCACGCGGGCTCAGTAGTTGTGGCTTACGAGCCCTAGAGCGCAGGCTCAGTAGTTGTGTCGCACGGGCTTAGTTGCTCCGCAGCATGTGGGATCTTCCTGGACCAGGGCTCAAACCCGTGTCCCCTGAATTGGCAGGCGGATTCTTTACCCCGTGCCACCAGGGAAGTCTCTGTCCTCTGCAATTTAAGTAATGGTTTTCAAAGTGGTGTGGATTATGAAGCTTTGCCCAAGTTGTGAGACTACAAATGAACATTTATTTGACACCCATCGTCCATTAGGTTGCTGTGGACATTGTATCACTTGATCTTCCCAACAACCTTGTGAGGGAGATATTATCATTTATTTTAGAGATGAGGACACTGAGACTCAGAGAAGTTAAGCAACTTGTCAAAGATGGCACAGGTAGGACATGGCAAAGCTGGGATTTGACCCTGGACTGTGAGATTCCAAAATCCATGCTCTCCTACAACATCAGAGGTACTAGCACCAGGGACCCATGACCCAGCAGAGTGATTACTGTAACAGGTTCAAATCAATTAATTTGCACACAAAACATTGTCTGTGGCCTGAATAAATAACTCCAGTCATAGATATTTACCAGTCATTCAGGTAGATGCTGTTGTAATTTTTAAATACAGATGAATATGAATCAACTGAATCCACAGTGGCTTTTTGTCACTTTATATCTTCTCTATTGATAACAATGGTAGCTAACATGCATTGAGCTTGCACAGTAGGCCTGGTAGAATAGTAGTAAGGAGTACAGCCTAGGTCTGAACCCAAATTGGTTGCACTCTAAAGCCTAGCTCTTTTGTAAAATTTTTATTTTATTGAAGTATAGTTGATTTACAATGTGTTAATTTCTGCTGTACAGCAAAGTGATTCAGTTATACACACACACACATATATACACATTCTTTTTCATATTCTTTTCCATTATGGTTTATCACAGGATATTGAATATAGTTCCCTGTGCTCTACAGTAGGACCTTGTTGTTTATCCATCATATATATAAAAGCTTATATCTGCTCACCCCAACCGTCCCTCCCCCAGCACCTTCCCTCCTTGGCAACCACCAGTCTGTTCTCTATGTCTGTGAGTCTGTTTCTGTTTCATAGGTAAGTTCATTTGTGTCATATTTTATTTATTTACTTACTTATGAAACAGAAACTTACTTACCTATGAAACAGAAACAGACTCACAGACAGATACCACTCTGTTCTCTATGTCTGTGAGTCTGTTTCTGTTTCATAGATAAGTTCATTTGTGTCATATTTTATTTATTTATTTATTTACTTACTTATTTTGGCAGCTTGCAGCATCTTAGTTCCCCAAGCAGGGATTGGACCCCCACCTTTGGCAGAGAAAGCACAGAGTCCTAACCCCTGGACCACCAGGGAATTCCCTGTGTCACATTTTAGACTCCACATATAAGTGAATCTTTCACTTTCTGACTTACTTCACTTAGTATGATCATCTCTAGGTCCATCCATGTGGCTGCAAATGGCTTTATTTCATTCTTTTTTATGGCTGCGGAGTATTCCGTTGTATACATGTACCACAGCTTTTTTATCCATTCATCTGTCAGTGGACATTGAGGTTGTTTCCATGTCTTGGCTATTGTGAATAGTGCTGCAAGTGAACATTGGGGTGCATGTATCTTTTTTTTTTTTTTTGCGGTACGCAGGCCTCTCACCGTTGTGGCCTCTCCTGTTGTGGAGCACAGGTTCCAGACGTGCAGGCTCAGCAGTCATGGCTCACAGGCCCAGCTGCTCTGTGGCATGTGGGATCTTCCTGGACCGGGGCACGAACCCGCGTCCCCTGCATCGGCAGGCAGACTCTCAACCACTGCGCCACCAGGGAAGCCCCAGGGTGCATGTATCTTTTTGAATTTTAGTTTTCTCTGGCTATATGCCCAGGAGTGGGATTGCTGGATCATATGGCAATTTTATTTTTAGTTTTTTGAGGAACCTCCATACTGTTTTCCATAGTGGCTGCACCAATTTACATTCCCTAAAGCCTAATTCTTAATGACTACAATCTCCTGACCCAATGGATGGTTAAGTACAAGTACTATCATGTGAGGATCTTAGTAATTTTTGACATTTGAAAGTAATTTACTTAGTGATTCTCCATCTCTTCCTAGGCATGCCAAAAATGACTATGCACGTGAGTTGTACTGATACTGTCAGGAGGGGATTGAGGGGACCTTGTCACCTGCTATAATCTCCATCAGTCTCCAGGCTTCCCAAAATAAAAATACAATCTATATGCAAGCAATGTCCTTGCTGTACAAATGGAACTCTGTGACCAGACCCCTGACCTCCTGCCCCTTCCAATCAGTTACCTGCCTCTCAGAATTTACAATCTAGCAATTGTCTGGTAGCCTCTGGTGAGTCATGATACATTTGAGGTTCCTGGCACTAGAGGTGAGGACTCTAGTCACTCCTCACATCTAAATGGGCTCAGCAACAGACCTTAAGCCAAGATGTACGCCGGTTCCAGACAGACAGCTTGCTTCGATCAGTCTTCCAAAAGCGGGGTATGGCAGGAAGATCCCTGGCCTGGAAGTCTAGAGACCTGGCTCACAGTCTCAGATCTGCCACTAACCAGCTGAGGGTAACCACCAGTGTAGACATCATTTTCCCTCTTATAGAGTCAAAAAGCTGGATGAGAGCAGATGGTCGCTGAGGTCTCCTCCGGCTCCAGCCATCTACTGGAGTTGGTGAGTCAAGTGCATCCTGATCCAGAAGAGGGAATAAATATGGGAGGCTGAGTGGAGAGGTGTGGAAACTTGCACTGCGTTTCTGTTCTCATCCAAACCACAAGTGCGGGGCTTCCCTCGTGGCACAGTGGTTATGAATCTGCCTGCCAATGCCAGGGCCTTGTTCGATCCCTGGTCTAGGAAGATCCCACATGCCGCAGAGCAACTAGGCCCGCGCACCACAACTACTGAGCCTGTGCTCTAGAGCCCGCGAGCCAC